ATGGTTGTTCTCAGTATTAGGAACCACCAGCTCATCACCATCACCATTTCAAAATTTCATTTCTATTTCAAAGATAATGTGGTATGTCTTCTTTATGTTATACCAACATTTACAAGACATCCATACCATAGTTTTTTGAAATATAGGTTAAGTTCAAGTAATTTTCCTGTTATTTTTCTATTTGAATTTTATTATCATTAAAAATTTTAACCACTCAGAATAACCTTTTCCTAGGGGTTCAGAAAGTCCATGAACAAATGCACACCTCATAAATGCTTAAAATGTTGATGCTGCTATGCTTTGAAAACGTACTCTATTTGAAAAATTTTGAATAACCAACTGCTAGTTTGTTAAATCGTGTAGGGACTTTAAAGAATTTGATTGACCCTTCTCTTAGGAATTACCGGTACCACCAAGTGGTCACATCGGGTCTTCAAAAATTTATAGGTCCTTCCCTAACCTCTCTACTCCCAATTATTGTGTTTAAGGTAAATTCCTCCCATTGTCAAAATCAAAGAGTTTTAAAAATCAGTGTCTCCTTCCTGCTTATAAATTAAATTGGGAAATAGTTGCATAATGGTCGTGATTTATGTCCCTGGTTAGAGCTCCAAAATTACAGGAAAGGTCTCTGCTTACCATCTGCCCTACAAATTGACAGTTTCTGAAATCAGTTTCTGAAAGGCCTACGTAACTTGCCTATTCTAGAATGAAAAAGGAGTCCCTTCCTTTTCATAGCTTCCAATAGTGACGAAACCTATGTCTGGTTATTTACATTCCCTTCAGTGGCTACTCATCTATCCCATCCAGCCCTATCTTCTTGTCTTTGCTAATTTTATTCCTTTTCCTGCCCCCCGCCCAACACAGACTCACCAGGAATGCACCCCTCTAGCTGGCTGATGGGAATTCCATCTGCTCGGCCAGGCTAAGAAGTTCTGTACAGTTTAGCTCACAACAGAATTTTACCTTCTGAGAAATATGGTCCACCTGCTCACAGCCACAAAACTTAGCATTTAATTGGCTTTAATACAAAACAAAACGATATACAAAGTTTGTTCTTCAAACCTTCAATGAATTCCCCAAAACCTATGATCTGTCTACACAGTTTTGTTCCCCTCAAGGTAACTAGAATGGCAAAGAGCTTGTGACATTCTTTTAAAATATTTAGCATTGTTTTTTTTTGTGGTAAAATACACATAACATCAAGTTGGCCATCTTAACCATGTTTAAGTGTCCAGTTCAGTGGTATTAAATACATTCACACTGTTGTGCTGCCATTACCACTGTCCACCTCCAGGACTCTTTGTGACACTATTGTCATTAGTCTATAGGAGGCAGATGGAAAATTGCCAGTTAGTTTTTCATGATCAAAATCTAGTTTTAATTCACAGAACTGTACACCTAAAATGGTGTATGTTACTGTGTATTCATTACACTTCAATAGCACTGATTAAAGGCAAAATAAGGAGGGATGTCATAGGAGATAGGGCTGGTGACAATTGGGACCCAGACCACGAGGGGCAGGGGCACAGAGGGAGCGGGGATTTTATCAGGAGACATCGGAACCCATGCAAAGGTTGATAAATAGAGGCATTCCTTCACTTTCTCATTGCCAACATTTTTGAGCACCTAATGTTCCAGACACTGTTCCAGAAAGATCACCCTGACTGCCTTATAGATGGCTGAGGGGGCGAAGTTAGCAGTTTTCAACACAGGTAAAAAGTATTTAATTAAGGCAGTAGCAAAGGGAAGGGAGAGCAAAGGCTGTATGTATTTTTACTTTTATCTGTGAATGGGGCCACTGTGAAATTACTGATTCCACCATTTTGTTTCTATTTTATAATCACTCGAACCCATGGTTACTTTCATCAGAATAAACTTGATGTGGACACCCTGCAAGCGTTATGTAAGATCGGTCAGCAACAAAGGATCCGTGGTACAGATAGTAACACTTAAATTGTGTTATGTTCACAGTGCTGTGAAAATGGTCTGATTAGATCTGTATCATTTTAGTGGAATATTTATGGCCAGCTCAGGGGGAAAGCGAATTTTCCACAAGGCATTTTGTGGGTAAAACTGGAGATGATGTGAATGTTTATCAATGCAGGAATGGTTAAACAGATTGTAGGAAACTATATTGTGAAATACCATGCAATGGATCTGTATGTAATAACCCAGAATGGGCTCAAAGTACTTTGTTAATTGAAACATGAATTGCAGAACATATTGTATTACAAAGTATGATAAATTTTTTTGTAAAAATATTGATTTGTCTGTATATGTAAAGATCTCTGTAAATACGGAAAAGAATATACATAAGGGGGTTGGGGACGAAAGTGAGGGGAACCTTGAGCTGTATTCCATATTGTGATGAGAGAATAACCATGCATTCCTTCGACAGAAAAATGTTTATTGGTTAGTATACCAAGTGAGTAGATCGTATTACATCATGACACATACTTTACACAACCTTTATTGGTAATTCAAATCATATAATGATCCTGATAATAATGGCTAATACTATATGTGTGTGTGTGTGTGTGTGTGTGTGTGTGTACGTGCTCATGTGTGTATCTTTTTAATTTGCCAACTTGCTTTTAGACTGCTTTTTTAAAATGACTGATAGTTATGTATATCAGAGGACACTCAAGATGAGAACATGCTGGCTATTGCAAAGGGTTTCTCCTGGAGTTACAAGAAACCATTTAAGAGAAATAAATATTTAATATTTTCACTTAACTAATTAATTACAAAACCTTTAGAACACAAAACTATTCATTGCAAATAAGCAAATCAAATTACAACAATCTTCGATCTTTTCATTCAAAACACACTAAAATAGCATGTGAGGAGGACTTTCCTATTTTTAAAATTGTATATGATGTGCACATTGGGGCCACAGAGGCCATTGGTAACAGCAGACAGTGTCCAAGTCACGGCTCTAACTGTCTGGGCTCAGTCAAGGGCTTTGCTGTCTTGGCTTTCAAATTAATATCTCCTAGCAATACTAACTAGAAAACGGCACAGAGTGGTGGAGACATTTCATTTATTTATTTTGAATTTTGTAAAGAATGTTTTAAAAGGCTGTTAACACAAGACCAGTTAGCAACTGTTACCCAGCTCCAACTGAAACATTAATTTAAGGAATTCACATGGCATTTTTAGGGCCTCATTCCAAATCGAATTTCTCAGACAGACTAAAATTGTACTCTTCTCATCTTCAGCCTACTTAAAGTTTTTTTTGTGTTTTTTTTTTTAAAAGGCAAGATAGTAGGTGTAAATGATTGAAAAGGGCCCCAGAGGATGCTCTGGAAAGTTAGAGGGTTGGGAGCTTCATACAGAATGTCTTGATAAGAAGTCTAGACTATCTGTAACTTGCTGATTGTGAGGAAAACCAGGTTATTAAGAAACCTTGTGAAGCCAACAGCTACAGGAGCTTAAAACACATGTGAAGCTGGGGATGACACGTGGGAACAGGAATTCCAATACTGCTTTAACTTTGGTCCACAGCACTAATTATCTATGAACCCAAGTGACATTTAGGAGTGACTCCTATCACAGACGCAAAAAATGCCACAGAAAGAGGGGACAAACATCTTTAAGTGTCAAAAGGGAATTGTAAAAATGCAGACAGGAAGAGGACAGAAAGTACAAAATCCATGACACATACATCTAAAAGTTCTTACTTGGAGTGGGCTGAGTTCAATATTATAGCACAAGATGAGCAGCCAAGGCAAATAGGCTGGCCGTGTGCAAAGTAGGAAAATGCATCTCTTTTTTCAGGTTTCCCTACATTTTGGCCCCATTTACAACCTTTTGGCTGGGTAACCTTGTGCAGTGAACAACCTGCATGACTCAGGAAAATTACTCGTTAGTTGTTTTAGTTAGTTTAGTTACAGAGTGAGTGTCATGAACATACACATATGTTTGACCTGAATATCCAATAGGAAAGAGGAGACAGTTTGGTAAAGAAATGGTTAGTCACAGTTACTTTAGCAAACCACTTGTTAAATGATCTGAGCTGAGTGTTTTAAGGGACCACATCAGAAAAAGTTGATCTATGCCTTGGTTTTTATTTCTGTCAAGAGTTGAGAAATCAGACTCAAAATAACCCATAACAGAATGAGCTATCAACACCATATACAATTAACATTGCTTTCCTATTTCTCCATAGAGGGGACTGCCTGGTTCCACATTTCTAAACATATTTAGAAAACTATTAGTCATCATGGCCTCAAAAGCCACACCTTTATAGCCAAACTATTCTTAAAGGAGGAACAAGGTAGCTGGTATTCTTACTGACAGCCATCAAAAAATGCCTTTTCCACATTTTCCTGGGCACAGCTCTCTCCCCACTAGTCCCTCTAGCAAGCACATTGATATTAGTTATAACTGAACCAGCATTTTGAAAAACAGTCAGACAACTCAGTGAGTTACCTTGAGATCTTTTTAATTACCTTATTGGTTTACTCCCCACTCACATCCACACCTTCCCCATTGCATCCAGATAGCCCAGAAGCAACGCGTCAGTGCTCAGGAAACTTGCAGATTCCATGAGAAATCCGACCCTTTCATTCTAGTAAAAAAAAACTGACTGGGTTGCCTAGGGATGTCTCAGTGCCCACCAAGAAAAGTGTGAACACTGGCTGCCCAGACTCTGACCACCCTGGGAGGAGGGTGTGAGTGACAGCAACATCTAATCAGGCTAAGAGGAACAATGGAATGGAGACGGCCTTCGTCCATCCATCAGGAACAGAGCGGGATGGCATGGTAGTGGAGAGAAGAACTGCCTGATGCCAGGCTTTGGTTATTTAACACAAGGACCTAGATCTGGAAAGCATCCCCAGATTCAAAGGTTAGGTGTGTCACAGGTCTCCATAAGTCATAACAGCACCTTTTCTTTAATTGGACATTAACAAAAATCCTTCTTTGCAATGACTTGAAATACCAAAGACACCCTCTGCAAAAGGCCTCCCTCTTCAAGGGAGAAGTCACTGGCTTACCTCGATAATGTAGAGAACCACATTCTTGTAGAAGCAGTACAAGATGCACTTGGTCACCCGGTTGTAACTCCAGGCACCATGGACCAACAGGAGCTTCTCTAAGTAGGAAAACTGAAAAAGGAAAACACAGTTCAGAGGAGTGGATTGTGTAGCAGTCAAAGTCACAAAACGTCTTTTGGAGGAAGGGACAGGTAAGGCAACAGAAAATCAGATTCTGCTGGTAACCTCAGAAATTCACTCACTTTAGAAAACTAAAGACGGAGCTTGCAGGCCTAGTGAGAATAGCTAACATCTCTCTGAGCAAGATAATCATCATTTCCCCCAACATGTGGCTGGACTTCTAATTGTTACTCTCATGAAATTCTATTCATGCAAATGCTTTTTAAAGGTCTTAATTATTAAAAGAAGGTGATCACCTGAATTGGAATTAAATTACAGTATGAATCAGATACTTCTATTCAATCACAGAGTTTATGGTGACAGTGGGAGCAAGGGACAGAGTCACTCAAGCATCAGTATTCTTTTGAAAAAGGGGATATATATATATATATATAGATAGATAGATATATATATATCTATATAGATATATATATATATTACCTATTTCCACTGTCAGCTTGCAGGTTAAACAATTACAGACACACAGAGACATACGGCTACACACACAGACCCACACAAACATACAAACACAGTCACACTCGGACACACACACAAACACACGGAGACGCATGCACCCTCTGTTTCTATACCCATTTTGTTCTGCTTTTCTGCCTCCATAGCACAGGGTACCTCTTGCTAGAGTGCTATGCAGTCAGGAATACCAAAAAACCAACTAGCAGCTAACAGACTAAGTGAGAGTAACGTAATGGCTCTTACACTTTAAAATATTCAGCAATACCCTAATGTTCCAATAAATAATTTGAATCCCCTTTGGAGCAGGGGGCCTTGGGGCACCACCCGAATCATGTGTCCTCAGTGTCCCCTTAGCCTGGCCTGCTCTCCTGTGTCCTATTTCATGAAGGTCCCCAAAGAGTGTGAAAACTGAGCTGGAGGGAGGGAAATGAGTGTTTTCAGTTTTGTACTCTGGAGTGACTGCACAGTTAGGAACATGTCTGCTTAAATTCACAGTTTCTGTACATTCAGTGAGCCTCACAACACTTTGAATTTCCCCCGTTGGTTGCCCTGTACTGGAACCTTAATTCCCTGTTCTAAGTCACAGGGCAGTCTTCGAGCTCAAACCCCAGTGCTGTCCTCAGAGACATAATCAGGCCGCACTGAGAACGTCCACAAACATTAGAAATTCTTCTGTTATTGTAAACTTCCTATTAATTTAACTTTTGAAATTAAATTTAACTAACTATAGGAAAGACTGATGGAAAACAACATTTTTTAAAAAAACATTATTTTCAAGAGGGTGCCACATAATGATTATCATTAGCACTAAAGAAGGGGACCCACTCTGGTATAACAGCTCCTTTCAAGGAGTTCTTCTACAAGCTCAGGGTGAGGCCCTCACCTACACACTCCGAAAGCTAAAAGACGACTTCAGAATGGCAGGAGTAGGTGCACATGGCGAAGTAAAACTGCCCATAAAGGGTTATTAAGGAATCCAAAGGGGAATGGGGAATCATAAAATAACTGGCCAAACAAATAAAAAGGAAGTTTGTCTTCGACCTGGACCCCCTGATGGTAAACTTCAATGGGCACGGAGAACATCTGCTGGAATCATCCAGAAGGCCTCAGCTTTAGCGCTACAATGATTTGTTTTCAGAAAAAAAGAAAAAGAAAAAAAAAAACCTAAATCAAAATGCTGTTTTCATGAGGTCATTCAGAAAACGTTGAGAAGGTAGGGGGCAGGAATGATTTTCTCCTGAGGGGAAGACACAGCCGAGGGCTCCAGGCGCCAGCGCAGACGCCTGCCAATCAGGGGCAAGGCAGCCAATCAGAGGACGGCTGTCAGTCCCGGGGGGGCGGGGGGGGGCGGGCTGCCCTTATGGGAAAAAGCACAGGCAGGCAGGAAGGAAAGAGAACCAGAACGTTGTGGACTTCATCATTTTTCCAAGGATGAGTCTTCAAATGTTCTTCTTCTGTATATAACTCTACAGGGCACTTTCTCAAAAGACCCAATCAAAAATATATTCATCCACATTAAAACGAACAGATAAAGACAAGCTGGCATTCATCAAATTGTGGCATTCCCTACTTAGTAATTATAGAGGAGGCATACTGCTGGGCGGAGGGGCTGTGAGGTAAGGAGGAACCCTGCCCTAACATAACAGGACCTCTGCCTAATCATGAACAGGACTGTGGACAAGAGAAATGAAGACCCACACAAGGAGGGTGGGGGGCACTCGTCAGTTCCCTTGGCAGAGTGACTGTTATGCTGGGGGGGGGGCATGAAATCCCTAAATAGAATTATAAACCCCTGCTCCCCTCGCTACCTTTCTTTGATGCTTTTAATGCGAAGAGAGCAATTGCTCCAGGTCCCACGTCCTATTAGTATGCAGTTTCAATAGAGCAGGTCATGGAATCGCCCTTCCCCAGACATTTTCAAGAAAAAGACAGACAAATATTTGCCTGGAACTCCTAGGAAACCTCTAAAGATCCCTTCCAGCCATATGATGCTATAACTCAAGTATTTAATAATGCTGGGGTGTATAACATCTACAGTTGCTGACAGACTACAGGAAGCGTGAGTCCCCCAGGCCTTGGAGTAGTTGACTCAGGAAAGCAAATGGGCAGGTGTGTGGGGCTGGTCCCCAAGGTCACATGAGGGTCTGGCGTTCTCTGACCCTGGATGCTCGGACTGGAGGCAAGTCACCAAATGTGGAGGAGCCTCAGTTTTCCCACCTGTAAAATCAGAATTCCTTCTATCTACTTGGAGGAATTAGCTTGAGGATTTATTTGAAATCAACAAAGGCACAAGATTGATTTCATGTACTTTTCAGAGCCATGAGGACTTTGTAATTCCTCTCTGGGTTTGCAGAACCATGAGCTGGGAGGGAATCTGAGAGGTGATCTAATGCAGAGCCCTCCTTCGGGGAGGTGGAGCCCCAAAGCTGCAGGGGACCAGCCTGCAGCCCTGGGGTGGCTGGAAGCTCTTTCCCCTTTTATGCGCAGCCTTTGCTTTCAGCTTGAAGAGGGAAAAAGCTGTTATTACTTGCATTCGTGTGATTAAGGTTAACATATTCTTCAAGAGATTAAGCACTGGAGAAACACGAGGGGACTCTAGCTAACCGGCCAACAAGTAGCATTTAATCACAGCATACTGCAACCGGGAAACAGGGGAAACGTTCTACGTTCAGTCAAGTCTAGATTTTCTGTGTGACCAAGCAGGCCAAATGGTCTAGAGATGTACCCTAGGGGTCAGGAGGTTGGCTGACTCTTCATTTTTAGATTATCATTAAGAAGTAGACATTTCTTTCACCCTCGGGCCATGTGTATAGCAACTACAGTGCATCGAATGCCTCTGCATGTAATGTTCCCTCCAGAGAGGAATGGGATGAGCTTAGCCTAAGTGCAGGAGGATGCTTGCTACTAACCACAGGGCAATTGTGGCCCAAACCCCACTCACGCTCTCAGCAGTTCCCGTAACAGCCATGGTCCTGGGCAATGCCCTAGTCACAGCTACAAAGCACGTGACAGCTGTAAACCCCTTTTTTTCCCCCAACCTTAAATGCCTGATGAGAAAATGTTCTAGCACCTCTGAAAGAGACGAGACCCCATGATGGGAATTGTAGAGAGTGGATGTTATGAGCACAGCCGCTGTTTGGCGCAGGGTGGCACAAGGACAAGCACACACAACAGATGAGGGAGCTGAAGGTAAGAGATCATTACTAGCACGACCAGGGAACTATTTGTCAGGAATGATACCTGCCTGGATGACAGAAAGCTTGGCCAACCCCACAGCTGGCCAAATCAAACCCAATGGTCAGGACAGGGCCTACAAATAGCACAAGATCAAGACTACAGAGAAAGTCAAGTACACTGGTGGTTCACCTAGATAGCAACCTCAAAGCGGGTACCGGAGTTCTCAGAGTGGAACTCAAACACCAACCGGACCTTCATGCCCAGCTATAATACACCTCTGTCAACAGGATGAGACAGCTGTTCAATCACAAGTCTGACCTGTGCGATGGCATAATCTGAGTTGTTGGTTGCCTGCATGCCCTCGTTCCCACTGATTCCCACGCCCACGTGGGCTGTCTGGATCATCCCGACGTCATTGGCACCGTCCCCGATGGCGAGGGTGATGGCCTTTACCCGCTTCTTGACCACATCCACTATCTCTGACTTCTGCAGAGGAGACACCCTGTAAGAGAAGAAAGAGAAATGACGACTACATGCGTCTTTCCAGAGGAAACAGCTGTAAACTACATTTAGCTGCATTAAAAGGGCAGTTATTGGACAATTTCCAAATTCAATACATACGTTTTATGTTTGTGTGCAAAGAAGCTTTCAGAAAACAGTAGCTTGTGGCTTTCAAGTATTTGCCAACTGCACAGATGAAATACACAACTCAAAACTAACTTCAAACACAGCCCATTTGTAATCACTCTCTCAGTGGGAGCCATACGTGCAAACGCCCCAGGGGCACATGTGCCCTCCTGAAAGATACAGGCACTTAAGCTGGTTATGGAGGCCTTAGGAAATGTTTTCCCCAGTAAACCATTTCTGCTTTGCTGTACACCACACACAACCTAGGGCTGGCAAGAGAATTTTCCATAAAATCTGCTTTCACAAGAGGGAAAGGAACGTTGGCAGAGCTTGAGAAATGCAGGAAGAGGACTAGAGTAAGAGGAAAGAAGGAAGGCTTCTCCAAGTCCACCCCAGAGATGGAGACGGCATTTGAAGGGCAGCCAAGGCAGAGGATTTAAGAAGGGGATCTACAGGGGTAGAAGGTCTGCTAAGGCTAAACTGTGAAGTAGCACAGCCCAAAGGGGAAGACTAGAGCAGCCTCTGCCTGAGAGAGGTTGTGTCCCCAAGGAATCAGAAAAGGTGGGCTACTGTTCATAAGCCCTCCAGCTGTCTGGGAAGAAGACCCAATGTAAACCTATGGTGTGTGAAGCACAGCAACATTAATTGTAGTGAAGTATAAGACCAGATAATATGACAACAGGATAGAATGATGGGTACCTCAGGACTGACTTATTTTTACTTTAAATTCTGAATTGGTAAGCTATTTCATTTGGGAAATTTACAGGTAAAGTCCTGAATCACAACAACAACAGCACACACACACACACACACACACACACACACACACACACACACAGAGTAAAAGACCTTTCTGGGTTCTCAGAGGTATACTGGCCACAGCCACACAGAGACCAGACTTGTAAGCTAGGATCGACACTCAAAAACTTTCCCAGTAGAACTATGAGCTCTCAAAGGGCCTCCAACCCACAAAAATGCCTGTTTCCAAGGGACAACTTACATTTTACCAACTCTGGAAGGAAAATGTGTTTGGTGAGACAGCAAGCTGAATCTAAAGCTAAGGTACTCTGAAAGCCATTGCTCAGTTACAAAGAAATAAAAATCAGCAAGTTAGAAAAACAGAATCTAAGTGCTGAAAAGGCTTTAGACACCATGTTGTGTGATCTGATATCTCTTTCATCATTTTTACAGGGATTTTCAATGATGGGACTTTTCAGCCTCTTGGGGTAGTTGCAACCACGAAAAATTATTATTATTACCTTTTTATTGTTGGTAAGCACAGTTAAAAGTACTAATTCTGTCCTCTGCATTAGACTAGAACAAATATAACTTTTCTTTCAAATATTAGGAAGGTGGAAATGTAAAGACACCCCTATCACACCTTTCCTCCCAAATCTCAGTTTCTGTTGGCTAAATGGTCTCAGGTCCTTCAACCATATTTAATGGCCATGCTTCAGAGCTTAAAAATAGCTCCCAAGTATGATATTCTAGATAGCTGAGGGCAGACGAGAACAGGCTCACCACCTCCCTAGTAGCTGACGCTAGACTGACATTAATGTAGCCTAAAGTGAAATTACTGGAAGCTTTCCTATCGTTTATTATTGAGCCTCCCATTAGCTAAACATCAGCAATTTTAATACACAGGGATATAAGCTGTATCTATTCCCTCCATGTTCAAGCATTGACACATGCAGCCAAGGGCTGATCTTTCCATTCCTCTCTCTCATTAAATTTCTGATTGGCAGACACAGCTCACCGTTCTAATTTGCACACAAATGTGACTTCTCATTTTATTTTTTCAACTCAGTAGAAGCAGAGATCAAATATTATATGGAGAAGATGACCTGGGAGTCAAAGTTAAATAATTGAGCATGGCTTTTTCTGTGCCCCATATGAACTATATGAGAATAATTTTATTAGTTCTTGTTTTTTTCATCAATGAAATGTGGAAAATGAGATTGCTGTGATGTATTTATGTGAAACCATCCTGCTTACTATCAACTGTGAAACAAATGTTATTTCCTACCCGTCTGCAAAACCTCAATTGTTGGGAGAAAAAATGGACACATCTGAGAATTGCATGCCATCTGACCCATGATTCTCAGACTGTGTGTATGTGGGTACTTTGGGGTGCTATCATGGGAAATTATACATTTTCAAGGGAAATGCAGCACCATCTTTCAGGTAGTGATACAAAATACTAGCTCAACGTAGCTCATAGTTTCTACATTAGATCATGCTATCTTCCTTTGCATGACATATCTTTGTGAAGCTGAGTTTTCATGGCTGCTGTGATATAAAGCAAATACACTGTGAAAAAAATCAGTGGAGAACAGGAAATGAGGGAGGTAATATCCACTCTTACTCCAAGGTTTAAGAAGTCATACAGTGCTCAGCAGGTACACCATACCATGCCATTGGTAAGTGATTATGATTATTTAAAGATGAAAATAAATATTATTTCTTTCATTTATGTGCATTTTTTTTCAAATGTCTGCTAAGTTGTCTGGACATAAATACTCCTTAAATTGCTTGATCTTACCTACTTAATAGTTAGAAACTGTTCAGTTTTTTCTTTTGGCCCAAGGGCTTTACAAAGGACTTATTGAGACACTGAGGCACTGTGAACCCAGAGAACTTGGGAACCAGTGCTTTAATCACTCCTCTCCATGATTACGTGATTCACTCTTCCAGTACAATTATTTACCCATGGAAGTGGAACCTTATCTAATGGTGCCATCATTTAACCTCCAACTCTTCTTGTGCATCCACGAAGATATCCCAAGACAGCACGGAATAGACACTACACAGCCTTGACACTACACTGGGCCAGCCTTGAGATTCTAGATGCCCCCCAAGTAATCAAGCAACTTGGTCTCTTAACAGCAAACTGAAGTGGTCTAGAGAGAAGGGGAGCCCAGGAGCAGGATGCTCAGCCATATGAACACGGTGCTGTGAGCATTTGGAAGGGTTGTAGTGGAGGAATAGAGAAGTTGCTAAACAAATCCAAGGTTTTCTTTAAGGTTAAAGTTTCTGCTTTTATGTCCAGGGGTTTAGCAATAAGCCAACCAACACGAGACAAGGAGCTACGTTTGCCATGCTGGGATTTGCATTTCAAGTAAGTTGAGTCAGGTCATGATTCTGATGGCTTAAAGTCAAATCTATGAAAGTCCAACAGCTGCCTTTTCCCAAAAAGCAAAAATAAAGAGAAAACTTGGCTGGGTAGATAAACCAAGTCATAGCCCTGTGTTTCAGAAGCATGAAATTCTCATCAAGGATTTATTATGCCCTCAACTGTAATGCCTTGAGAAAACATAATTCGAGCACACACTAGGGGTTCACAATAGGTGTAAAACAGCTAATTTCCACAGAACTGAAAAGGCACCATTACACTTTAGCCATACATAGTATTTTAGTATTACGCTAAGTTACCAAGAAGCACAAACCAGCTCTTTTTTAATCTTAATTTGTGACCTGGAATCACATACCACACTTAATAAGTATTCCCAGCATTCAACTGGTAAAATAAGAATTCCAGACCACATCTAAGCCAAGCGAGGTGCTCAGGACACTTCTACACCATATTTTGGTGCATTATGAATAGAAATATAAATTCAAAGATCTTCAATAACCAGAGAGGTATTCTACCCACTTTTCTTTTGGCTGACACAATAGATTCTAAAATAAAAAATAAGTTTTCCTTGTGAGACTTTAAAACCCAAATTTAGTATCCTGGAGTATCTCACTTATGGACTATGTGTTCCTGAAATTTCAAAACTCACTTTCAAAAGTATTTCAAGCATAACACTTAACTATGACCATTGGTACCTGCTTTTATAGGCTTAATGGTCATGCATTACTGTATCTGAACAAATTTAAACATGCCCCTTTCCTTCTCAGAGCTCAGCTGTCCCATTTGTCTAAGAGACACTGGCCTCCATTACTGATTTATAAACTGAGTTCAGCAGAGCCCAGGGAATTAAAGGAACTCCTCCTGGGAGCACCCAGGAGGATTTCAACCAAGGCCATAATACTTACTAATTAACCAGATTCACCAAATACTTTCAGGAGTTGGGCTTCCAAACTTCTTTGTTCCAAATAGATAGTCCTTATGACTTAAAAAAAGAGAGAAATTTGAAGGTCACTGGCCGAGATTGCAGAGTCTCAAATTTTAAGTAAGCATCAGACTCCTCTAGAGAGCTTGTCAAAATACAGATTCTGAGTCAGGAAGTCCGGGGTGGGCCCCAGGAATGTACTTCTGACAAGCTGCCGGGCGATGTCGGGCTACTTATCTATGGACCACACTGAAGTAGCCAGCACTGGCCTGGACAACATCACAAGTTCTGTCTTATTCAAATGTTTTCATCAACGAAGCTTACATTTCCATACACAGGACACATGCAAAATATTCACAGAGTGAGATTTAACAAGCAATTAGCAGAAACACTGCACCTCGTCCCTTTCCTTCAATCTTTGCATATGGAGGTCCTTCTTTGCTTTCAAACCCAAATTAATAATTTCAAGTTGAGGTTGCAATTTCATTGAAGATAGTCTTCCAATCTGAGTGTCTCATGTAAGAGGGTGAGAGGGGAAAATACAAACCAAAATAAGGCATACAGGACTTCATGAGTTTTTTGAACGAGGCAAGAACCAATATATATGATTTCATTTGTGAAAGTTTCCGTCTTCCCATTAACTGAAAGATAATATCCATGTGAAAGAGATGTTCTCTCCTTATGTCAGTCAGTGATCCTAAATGTTTGAAAAATCGCAGCACCTTAAAGAAAAACTCATGTAGAGTTTGTAGATATACAAACACCTAAATGAGACTAAACTCTAAAACAATTAAGCTACCCTGCGTATCTGTTTAATGAG